ATAACTCTGCACTTTCATTGTTTAAGGAACTGACTGACTGTTACAAGGAATAAAATTGCCTGTCAGTCTGCTGGAAAACAGTTTGGAAATGAGGAAGAACCAAGAAACACTAATGGCTGTATGTTCTCTGAGTTAAACCTTTTTCACTTGTTCAGTGAAGGGATGGGAATGGAGCGTCTGTGCCATCCATGCTAATGTGGAAACTGCATGAAAGGGTGCTGTGTGCTTGTCCAGAGATGCACATCCCCTCCGAGAAGGGCCTTAGTTGTACATCAAAACGAGGCGGGGACGGGTTCTGGTACAGTTACTTCTGCAGGAGACAATGATCCAGAGCTTCCTGCAACCCAAGACATTCCAATGTTGGGACCAGGAGCCAAAGGCACCCCCAAGTCTTGGGGAATCAGGCCTCATGTTTCAGAGCCTTAAGTTGCTAACTGTGACCAGACTTAGAATCACTGTGTAGGAAGATGGAAGAGTCTCTGTCAGCCCATTTCTGGCTAAGAATCTGGGTATAGAAGCCAAAAATTACTTGACTTGCAAAGAATTTCATGTTAGAGTGGTACAATTATGGATCATTGAGTTTTTTCAATTTAGTTTTGTATTATAAAGTTATCATACCTCAGTCTTCTGAGAGAATATATTCATAAGACAAACAAGCAAGGATAACTTAATACAATTATGTGCAAATAATCAGATAAACTCATATATGGGAGGAGCCTCATATCATCTAGATGTCATAGAAATGGAAACAGAAAAAAGCACACACTTTGTGTTAGAAAAGGCCTGGATTTGAATTCAGCTTCAGCACTTTCTGAGTGACCAGTGACAGGGGATGTCAGTTCTTAGAACATCAGTCTCCTTTTCTGTGAAATAGGCAGTGCTTACCTGATTTAACAGTGGTGCAAACTAAATGAGGTGATGTGTGAACTGCAGGACAAAGTCAGTTTCTATCCTTTCTGGTGGGGGTGGGGGCTGGGGGTGTCTGACGGTGTGAGGAGTGAACTAACAGTTCATCAAGACTAGTGTTAGAAGTGTTAGTGTTAAAAGCGGGGATGACTTTCACTTTGTTTCACTTAAGCCTGTCTAGTCTCTTTCAATCCATCCATTCATCTTTCACCTTATTTATTCATACATGCACGCATTCATTCATTCGCCTATTCATCCAGACTTCTTTTTAGTAAGTATCTTGCAGTGTGCAAGATGCTATTGATGCAGAGATGAATGAAACAGGTGGTTCTGTTTGGAATTTGTGAGTTCATATGTGAATGCAGAGATGGTACCTTGCTTCCTTAAGTCTTGGTGTTTAAATTTAAAAACATGATCACATTAAAAACATAAAGCTTAGTTCTGGAATCAAAGATATGAGAAGAAGTCTGATGTTTTACATATCCCAAATTGAATATTGATACATATGTGAACACGTGTATATTTATATTTCTACTAATCATTTGTCTGCATTAAAAGTGAAAGCAGTGTTTTTCCATGCGATCTAGCTTATTTCCTCATTGTTTACTGCTTACTTTAACAATAAATCTAAATATTCATATTATGCACTGGAAACCTCCATCTTCATATTCAAATCTACGTCTTCAAAGATTGGTTGTTTTAGGTTTATGTTTAAGATGGAAAATAAGTCTGGAAGGATTATATGTCTAGGCAATTATATACCGTTCTTAATTTTAAAACTCAGTGTTAAAATAATTTACTATCTTCCACTTCCTGGATTCTAGCTGGGGTAGTATGTGATGCTGAGCAACTCTCATTGTTTTAGATTTCTTCTTCAGTTGTGCATTTAAATACCTTTCTTGTATCAGTGCCTGACATCTCACCCAAGAGTGCCACCTGGTGCATTCAAAATGGCAGAATTTTTATTTTCATCCTCCTATAGCTTGCTTCTCCCTGATTAATTTTCAGCTCTTAATTACCATTATGAGCAACTTGGGTTCTATTCTGTTTGTGTCATTTCAGAAAAAACTTTTTAAAAAACTGTTTCCAAAGTATTTTAAACATTATGAAGAGTTTTTAAGTGGTATACATGATAATATAGCAGGTAAGAAATTGCTGGCATGAATTCCAAAAAGAGAGACAATAAGATATTATTCAGTGGACCATTCGGTGAAGAGATTGCAGCACGGCACTGGGCTCCTCACAACTGTGTTTGTTATTCTAGCCTGAAAGGGAGAAGAAAGAACTTCTCTGTTCCCCAAGAGCCTTTTCTCTCACTTATTAAGTTATTATAGATAAGTACTAAACATCTGTTCAACGTCTTTGGCCCTCCTCTTTAAAAACTGGATGCAGGTTGACTTTGGCTCATGATGACATCTTGTTTAGATGTTATACTAACGACAAGATCGCACTGAGGCCTGCCTGCAGTGCTGTTTATGAAACCCTGACTTGAGGGTCAGGCTGCAGGTAAAATGCCATCCAGAAGACTTCTGGCCTTTCAAGAAATTGTCGTGAATCTGTTCCAAGAAGAACTTGGAATTATATACTGCTTTGGAACACAGCATAGACTGCGGTAGAATTTCATCATAGTTTTTATGGGAGATGACAAATTTTGAAAACACTTAAAACTTTTCTTAAAATCTTCGTTTACTATGTATTCATCTGATCAATGTAACTGCTTGGAGAATCATGGGAAGAATAAATATCTTTGGTCAATTTGATACAGACATTTTCTAGTTTTGAGAGGAGAAAGGATAAATAAATGTACTTGCTAAATATGTTCATAAAAAGTCAGTTTATGGGGCTAGCCCAGTGATGCAGCAGTTAAGTTCGCATATTCTGCTTCTCGGCGGCCTGGGGTTCGCCAGTTAGGATCCAGGTGCGGACATGGCACCACTTGGCATGCCATGCTGTGGTAGGCGTCTCACGTATAAAGAGGAAGATGGGCACAGATGTGAGCTTAGGGCCAGTCTTCCTCAGCAAAAAGAGGAGGACTGGGAGTAGTTAGCTCAGGGCTAATCTTCCTCAAAAAAAAAAGTCAGTTTATAAACTCACAATGTTTTAGTATCATATCTTTGGAAACACTATAGACTTTAAATAAATATATAATAAAATTCATATTTGCAACTAAGTCTGAGGCACAGGATGACAATTTGATAAAGTATTTTGTGTTCAAGTACAAAGTCAGAAAATATTCTTTATAACTTTTTTTGTCTTCCCATAAATCTCCTAAGTGGACATGTTACTTATTAAATATTGTTTTATTGAGTTGATTAGTACTGTGACTCAATTGGATTTAATCTTCTTTATGTACATATTTCTGGATCCCAGAAGCCTCCAGGTGAACTTATTTGGGTGATTTCTTATACATTCCTTAAGGCCACATAACTCTGAATTGCATTAAAAGGAAAAGAAGCATCTTATAGAATTAAATGTGATTTCTCTCGATTTAAACTTTGCATTTTTCCCATTTGCAGCTGCTTAATGATTTGCTATTTTGTCCCCCATTCCTCTACCCGAACATTGCAGCCTTATTTTTACTTAATTACGGCAATTAAGAATATATGTTTCTTTTGCTGAGGAAGATTCGCCCTGAGCTAATATCTGTGCCAATCTTCCTCTATTTTGTGTGTGGGTTGCTGCCTCAGCCTCGCTGATGGGTGGGTGTAGGTCTGCTCCTGGGATCTGAAACCGTGAACCTGGGCCACCAAAGCAGAGTGTGCTGAACTCAACCACCATCCCGTGGAGCTGACCCCCAAGAATATTTTTTAAATCTCAATTCTTTGCTCTTCCTGATAGATATTTGTATCATTCAGGCTCAACTAGAGAAACAGAACAAGTAGGCATATATATTGAGATTTATTGCAAAGAACTAGCTTATGTGATTATGAGAGCTGGGTGGACAAGTCCAAAATCCATAGGGCAGACCGTCATGAAGGGCAGACTGGAATTCTCATGCATGAGTGGAAGCTGCTGTCTACAGGCAGGATTTCTTCTTTCTCAGGGAAGCCTCAGTTCTGCTCATAACAGCCTTTCAACTTATTGAATCTAGCCCACCCAGATCATCTAAAATAATCTCCCTTACTTAAAGTCAACTGATGATTGGACTTTAATCACATCTACAAAATATTTTCCCAGTAACACCTGGACTAATGTTTGAATAACTGGAGACTATAGCCTAGCCAAGTTGACACATAAAATGGACCAGCACATTTAAATGCAAAAAATTTCAACTTTAGCAATGCTAATGTAGACTTATGCCTAATTGTATTTTCTTGATATCATATGAAACCAGTTGTTCCTTTAGTGTTTCAATGAAATGCACATCAGGAGAGTAAATGTTCAGGTCTCTCGTATCTTGGCCGGGGGAAATGGCATCAGAGAGATGATGTGGTTGGTTGTCACTGAGATTCTCTGCCCTGCAGCCAAGTCAGGCAGACAGTTGGATAATTCAGGATTTCCAGGGAAGTCCACCCTAGTATGTTCTATTTTCTCCCTAGCTCCTCAGAACTAGCCTTTCTGAAGGACTCTGTCTAATAAGTCAAGAGGGCTTTCTTTGGCTGCTCAGATTGTGTCTGTTGCTATAATAAAATTCATATGAATGATTATCTAAAACAGCTGGGCTTAAATCTAGAGGCTTTGGAAGCCAGGGGAGGGCACCTTGAGTTTTACCAAGAATACCTATGATGTTGAAAGAGTGCTTCTCCAACAATTGCCAGAAAAGGGGGTTACAGATACTGGGCATTTGAAAACATTGAATGACTACAGTATTTGTTTGCTTCTGGTCTACCTCTAAGAATAAAAGCTTCTTGAAAGCACAGACTGTATATCCTCAGAACATGTCACAGTGAATAGCATAGGTATCAGTTTGGGTCCCAGCAGGAAACAGTGTACAGCCATGCGCTGTTTAATGACAGGGATATGTTCTGAGAAATATGTCATTAGGAGATTTTGTTGTTGTGTGTACTTACACAAACCTAGATGGTATAGGTTACTACACACCTAGGCTATGTGGTACTAATCTTATGGGACCACTGTTGTCTATGTGGTTCATTGTTGACTGAAATGTCATGAGGCACATGACTATACTCAAATTAGGATAATTTGAGGAGGGTTTAACAAAAGGGCCTACTTACAAAGATGTGGGCTCTAGGGAAACCCCAAATGATGTTGTAGTACTCTATAGCCGTTATCAACCCCCATCTGGGATCAGGGGAGGGAGAGGTTACGGGAAGTCTGAAGACAAAGTCTGGGATGGAGGGCTGCCCTCGTAGGTGCTGTGACCTCTGGTTAAGTGATGAAAGCAGTCCGCTGGAGGGGGAGCTGGGAGGAAAGAAATAACCTCACCCCGAAGATGTACCTCACTCTCTCCCCCTGATCACCTGCTGGGTTCTCTGTTGGCTGAACCCACCAAAACTCAGAGAGCCAAGGAGTCTGCTGATGTGGTTCCTCCAAGTCAGTCACCCGATGGGCACAGCGGAGAGCAGACCCAGAGGCCAACAGATTGTAAGCCCTCCATGAATGCTCCAGGTATGTGAACTTGAACAAGCTGCGGAATTGCTCTGAGCCTCAGTTTTCTTCTTATAAAATGAGGCAATCATAGTTATCCGGCTAAGTTAGTTTAGGGGCAGAGAGTATATGTAAATTACCTTTAATGATAGGTGGCATTTCATATAACAGCTACTATTATTATTATAATTGCCACCACCATTGTCATCTCAACCAACTCCTAACGTAGAGGTTCACAGGCCAGTAGGGAAAGAGATAAGATGTTCAAGAAGCATTTTAACTGTTTTAGAATAAACATAGCATCTTACATAAACGTATTTGTGTATACACTTTAACCTAAACTCTAATAGTGAATAAGACAAAACTCCCATCTCCTATGATATATTTTCACTTTTCCTTCCTACTTGCTGGGGATGAAAAAGAAAATTAGTAAACTACCCCAATTTGAATCCCATTCTCCTGCTACCTACCTCAAGAAGGAGAATTTAAAGATAGGGAAAATGGCCAAAAGAGTATTTGGCAGGTGATAGCATTGTGATATAATAAATGTGCCCACATCTGTAATTTCTCTTTTCTATATTATTAGGGATTATAAGGGAGGATTTATAAATATAATAGTATAGATAATAGTGTATATATAGATAGTATAGATTACTATGTTTTATGTATAAGTATGATTTAGATCATAAGTTAGGTACAAAGCCAAATGGAAACATCTTAAAAATTCATCTCGGAGAAAGTTCAAAGGGAATCTGTTCTCTTTGCAAGAAAGAAATCTGCACCTTCGAGGTCCTGGGGACACCAGCAATAGCTTGCTGATTTTGAAAGAAATTCCTACTCATTCCTTATGACAGGCACTCTGTGCTGTCTGCGTGGATAAGACTCCTGGCTGTGAATAAAACCAGGTTGGAGGTTTTGCTACAGTTTATCGTATTACACCTATGAATAATTCATAAGCCATCTGTTGACCATAAAGCCAGTTAAGGAATTCTAATAAATGCACAATTTCCACTTCCTAGGGTAAAGCAGCATTGACATTTACAACCTTCCTGAGCAATAAAATGCCAGTAAAAATATAACTGACAGTTATAGGTCTTTGCTATTTCTAAGCATTAATCACCTCAAAGCACAGTATCAGGCATCTGCATTTCCAGGACTGTTAGCTACAAAATGTTGGCAACATGTTAAACTTGAATTACTTCTTATAATATCTGATATTCACATGAACAAGACTTAATGACTCACAAAGACAATTTGGAATAAATATAGACATTCACCCTGGAATTTTCTCTGTCAGTGCCAATAATTATTAACAATACTAGTTTCTTCTCTGAGGTAGTAATTTTTGGCAGTTTAGTTCTTATTCAGAATGTACTGAAGATGTGATTGTTATTAGTACCACTATCTTTCCCAGCATATAATTATTCACGTATTAACTTAACTTCTTTTTTGTGGGGTGAAAATTACACCATATCAGCAAAGGGATATGATTTCACAGTATCGCTGACACAAAGTGATTTTAACATGGAGCTAATCTTTGTTATGATTCTGAGTTACTTTCAAAAATCATAAATATTGCCTTTTATGACATCCTGATCACACTGGAAAAAAATAAGGAAATAAATATACTTTAAAAAGTATCGAACCCCAATCAGATTTTTGGTATTTTGATATTTTTGTTTTGAACAATCTCTCTCATTGTTTTTTGACGTAGGGACGTGTTTTGATGACGTTTGGGCAGATGAAAATGAGAATGCACGAGAAGCCCCCATAAATGGGTTAGGAAACAGGGATAAGTGGTGTACAAACCTCAGACCTTGTTGCTAACTTGCCAGTTACTTCTCTTTCCTCCCCTCAGTATTCTTTTGTGAAATGAGAGAATGGACCCTGCTTTTCACAGTGGCTGTGGAGCTAGGTACCACTGGTGAGCATCTCCCTTGGACTAGAAAAAAATCCATGCCCTGAAGATCTGGATTTTAGCTCTTGTTTCAACGGACTTAAGTAATGTGACTCTGTTTATTGGACTGTCTTTATATCTTGAAAGTAAAGATAGTAAAATGCATATATAGTAAGACTCTATTTTTATAAATAAGTGGAGAATGTGTATATGTGTGTTCGTATTGATTTTAAAAGATCTGGAGAGAATATTGCTAAATATTGAAAATTATTATCTCTGCGTGACTTTTTTCCTTCTTTTCTACTTTTTTTCTAAATTTCCCTTAAAAATAAAAACTATTTTAATTAAAAAAAAGGTGGTAATAAGTAAAAATGCTCACTTCCCTTCTTGCCTTAACCACTAATGAACACATCCAAAGAAAGTACTATAGAAGTTTGACAGAGAAGGTGTGCGTTTAGAGGGAGTCCATGCCAAGGACTGGAAAGGGGGCAAAGGGGGCAGGTACCCGCTTAGTCAGCACACTGAGGGCAGATCTCTCAAGGGGAGACTCACCTGAACCAGGCTCCCAAAAACTGAGAGGTAAGTCAGAGCACACGGGCCCCAGTTGACGATGGAACTGTTACCACCTCTTGGACAAGGATGCCCCTGTTGACACGACATGCATTCTCTGCCCTCCTAGATCTAGCCCTGATGTTTGTTCGGTGCACATAGAGCCAGGGCAGGGCCCACTCTCACAGGCTGATCGCCTTTGGCATCCATCTCCATGGGAGGGATGTACTGCCCCTGTTAGAGTGTTTGATATGAGGACTTTTGTTTAAACATGGCTAGGATGAAGCTAGCCTTGTGAAATGGAGATCTGCATAGAACATATTAATATGGAAAGAATAAAATCCACAAACCTTGAGGCTCTTTTACTTCTCTGTCAACCTTTATTCTTCCATCCTTTGCACCTTCTGACATCTTTCTGTGTACTTTCTTCAGACCCAGCCTTCCAGGCTTCTTGTATAAAACTCTTTCCTCCTCTTTCCCAGACGGTCAGTGCTGGTCATCACCTTCCAATACAGGGTTCAGCTTTTCCCTCTTTTGTGTTTGCCCAAGAATTCATTCATTTGTCAATGTATGTGGAGCCTCTATTGTTTATGTCCTAGGTCCTGGGCAGGGTAGATGTCTTCATGGGCTCATAAAAGTAACCTCCGTTGGTTAACAAAAAGGCTCTCAAACCTTATCTCAACGGGACTCCTTAGAGATGAGTTCGCTGTGTACTTAGAACTGTTAACCTCAGTCCTCCAGGTGTGGTTCTAGATTCAAGCTTGGTACCATGTTGCTACTGATGAGGGCTGGTACGAATTGATACCCTTGAATTGAGACCTGGGCTGGCATACAATGCATCCATTAAATTAGTGATGGCTATCATAGTCCTCACGTTTAAAAAGAAAAATTCAGACAAGCTGTATTTTGTACATTGGTGTATGTCAGACCCTTGTGACACTGGAGGTTTTGTTTTCCCTGAGCAAGAGTGCTGGTATAAAGTCACTGAACAGGTAGCAACTCAGTTTGAGAAATTAAGGTTATCAGTGGGTGATGAACACCGTGGACATTGGGGTATCTGCCCTGTGGAGTTTGGTTGGTGTCACCCACAGCAGTCTGTTTTATCTGCCTGTTGTTAGGTGACCTTGCAGTTGTGCAAAGTGAGTTACAATCCCTCCTTGATTAAGTGCATCTGTCTCTCTTACATTGTAAAAATAACCGTGGACTCTATGTTCCGCCTAGGATTGTGATTCCTCAATGCCATATGTTTGTGTTGTCATAAACAGTCTTCCCAGAAATTTGGCACAAGCCTGGCCACATGCTGATTGGGATAGGACTTCTTAGCAATCACCGAGAAATCAGTTCTGACTCCAGCCTTCATCACTGAATTTGAGCTTAATGCCCTAAATCTATAGTGGGAGCTCCATAATCTTGTCAAAGACATTTATTTGGATGAAAAGTGTTTCATAACTTATATTTGTGTTTTATGGAACTCTGTATTGATTTTTTTAAAATGTTACAAGAATGCTCATGTATGTCACCTAGATCCTGAGTCTCTTTTATGTTCTAAGTTGTGGCATTTTCCCATTTCATATGACTTTTGATCCAGGAGTTGCTTATTACCCCACTTTTGAAAAATGGTATGAAATAGGAGGAAATTACACAGGGGGAGCAGGAGACCTTCTTTAGAAATGGGCCATGGGCTCATTGAACATCAATGTTGACTGCTGAATGAAAACACACTCAATAGCTACAGAATGCTTAAGACCTAAAGTTTCTCATATACTAGAGCTTTGTGAAACAGTCAACCCAGATTTTTAATGAGTTTGTCCCTCTCGGGATTTGCCGTGTTTAGTAATTAAAACTAAGCAGCTACCTTGCCAAATATGGTCGGATGAACAACCTTTTGTCAAACATTTTGCTGGAGGATGAGGCAGCATTTGATTTCATGGCATTTAATAGGTAATTTTTAAATGGCCAGTAAATTGGCAATTGATTATGTTTTCGAATGAACACAGCCACTACAGAAATACTTGTCCCCTTTAATTAGCATCAACCCATGATATTTTCGCAATGAAAATTAACATTAGTGGTGAAAATATTTTTATAAGATCTGTTTAAAGTATTCAGTGCATGGGGATCACTGTGCTTGGTGCTAAGGAAACAAAGGTGGGGAGGCGGCAGTTGGTCAAGGAATCACAGAAGGAGGCTTGAAATTACAACTGTAGCACTGGTGATGAAGGAGAAGGGTCATAATGCTGCTCAGGATGGGTTCTCTAGAAGCAGAGCCTGAGATCAAGATTTGGATGCCCAGGATTTCTTGGGGGAGCGCTCTTAGGAGAGGAGGAGTGTCCAAATCAGGCTGAGGCAGGGGTGAGGCCTCAGCTGGACTGAGTGTCAGCCTGATCTCATGGGGAGTTCTGGAGAATGCTTTGTACCACAAAGTTGCCCCACCTTAAGGCAAGGAAGGGACTGGCCTTTGGCAGTCTCCCCTACCCTGAACTCGTCAGACATTAACCGAGGTCTGCCCTGGGGTGGATGGGTATGGCCCCTGGGCAAGGGGGCTTCGGAAAGACCAAGGGCAATTTCCCCAAGAAGGAGGGCAGCAACTGAGAATATGAAAGCATCGAGTTGTGAAGGGCCCTTGGTGCAGCACCAACAGCACCCACTATAGATGCTAAGAGAATATGTAGTACAATGTTCCTCTTTGTTCAAAACCCTCTGATGGCCTCCATATCACTCAGGGAAAGAGCCAAATCTCTGAAAAGGCCTGCCAAGGCCTGTGGGACCTAGTGCCCACTCTGACCTCATCTCATAGATGTCTTTGCGTCAGTGCTCATTGTTCAATGTGATCCTCATTGTTGCTCTGGTTAACCTTGTCCCAGCTGAATTTTAAGTTATCTTTTCTATTTAAACAGCAGCATATATTTTGGGTATTCTTTCACATTTCATCAGTATATGTCGAGGAACCCAGTTTTGTTGTCCTACATTTTTATTTCAAAGATCTATAAGTGCCCTAGAATTTTGGTTTTAAGTTAAAACTTGACATATGGTATGACTTTTCTGGCTCCAGAGAAATCTTGTTTCTTTCACCAACATGATCAGAATTACTACCTCCATTTGAAATTGGCCCAGGGTTCAAGATAGAAGAAAAGAGAGTCTTTGAGGTCATTTTTAAAAAAATTTCATACAGAAAGATTGCTAGATGCAGTGGGCTTCCTTATTTGGTCTATATCCTTGCCTTGCCTTTTACATCTGCCTTTCTTTCCACATTTAGGTTTGTTTCTTGGATCTCTGCTGTCTGAGCTCTTTTCACAACTTTTTCAATATTAATACTTCTCTTTATTATTTAGTATCTATTAATTTTTTTCCTCTGTGCACTCTTCATGTTTCTGCATTCTATTTTCACACTCGCTTTCCATTATGTAACAAATCAAGGGAGGTTATCGAAATCTAGTTCCTTGTCAAAATAACATGCTGCCTCCTACTTTACTCACTATGCATGTTGTTGGGGTCTTGGTGCAGAGAGGCCCTCTGTTGATGACATTATAATGCTTCCTTTGAGATGTTTTGAATCATTTTCATTATCAACCTGGCTGCTAGATCTGAAACACTGCCAAGTTCCTGAAGAGGCAATTTTATCTGACAAGTTTTCCAATGCAGGAACGTATGTTATTTATAAGATATAGATCTGAGGACTAATTTAACGTCGGAGATTAGAACACATCAGCAAATGTTTATGGAGGGCCCACTGTGTGCCAGCCAGGGCCTGGAGTAGGGGGCACTTCTGGCACAAAGGAGAGCTCAGGAAATACATATAGGTTGAATAAAAGTGAACTGGCTGGGTTGGACAATACAAAGGTAAACAAAACACGGGTTTGAAGGGGAAGTGGACCTGCAAACACATGATTATAGTAAACTGTAATATGCCTCAATTTTATCATCTATAAACTAGGGACAGGACCTACCTTCTGAGAGTATTAAAAGAAATGATGCATTTTGTAAAGTGCTTAACAGACTCATGAATTTAACAATGTTAGAGCACTATTTAGTAGAGATATATACAGAACAGGGAGAAAGTAACTGATTCTGTAGAGAGTGGTGGGTGGATAAGTAAATCCAAGAAGAGTTAATAGAGTTGGTACCTGAGAGTCGAATAAGGTTTAGCGGATCTACCCATCCATTCGTGGTCTGTGTTGGCAGCAACACTCATGCCTGTTGGTGGCATCGTATATGTTTACGTAGGATGAGAAATTGGACCCCTGTCGATAAGTTTGATCCCCTAATATTGATTGACATTTTTGTTAATGGAATTGCCAGTTTTATTACCGAAGGAAATTACCACAGGAACCACTTACAACTGCAGTTAAACATTATTTACAAATATTCCATGGCCTTGATTGTGTTCAGCAATAGTACTTGCTAATCATTGTATTTCAGAAGCCCAGGGCCTGCCAAGTCTCTTGGGAATGACACAAAATATTTTTGTAACAGATTTAGTAATTTCAGCATCATAAAATATTCACTAGTGAAAACTAACCAGTAAATATTATTAATCCTAAAAAAATATTTTAAAGGAGGGAATGTGTGTTTTTTCAGTTCTGCTCTACAATTTTTTTTTAATTGTTGCCTAAATCATGATCCTAATTACTAGGCCTCATTTCCCCTGAAAATGGAAACTTAAAGACACTTTCTGCTGTCTTTAGTTTAGTTTAGTTTAGTTTGTCTAAGGCAAAAATATATCATGATGCATTGGCAACAACTCCTCCAAGATTATTTACCCAGTAATGTCAATCTCCTAGATAAGAGGATATGTCAGCTCCATTTTCCATAAGTTTGGTCTGTCTAGAGTAATATAGAAAAGCATTTATTGTGATGATGAATGGGTATTAAGTGTTTAACTAAAGATTAGAAATATTTAAAACCTATAGCAATCATAGAAACTTATTTCTTCAGAAATCCTTTTGAAATTTTACTTTCGACGAAGCTTAATCCATAACCAAACACCATTGCTAAATATAAACCTGAAATACAGGTTTCTGATATTTGAAAAGGTGGGCCTGGATTACGTTTCAGCCTTTCTGTGATCCGGTTCCTTTATCCCTGCCAGCGCCTGTGCTGTATACGGGAAACTAAATTCAACATCGTCAGGAAAATGTGAAGTAGTACTGCAATGGAAGGAAGAGTCTAAAACAAATCAAAGCAAAAGGTAATATTGGTTTTCTTGGTTGAAACTGTCCCCTTTATATCAGGTATGTGAGTACATATTTATACCTCTTTGCTGTATAACATAAATTTTAAAGTTTGAGTGATATCAGTTACTGATTAAAAATATTCTCCATCCAGATTATTTGGTTTTGATGGTTATGCTAGACTATTTGACCCTGTTGCTTTTGATTCCTACAGCCTCTTCTGCTACACCACGTTACCCGGATACTTGACCTATTCTGTTTATTTATTCAACATAGCTGACAGCCTGTTACTGGACCCTGTGGAAGGGCTGGGCATGCAGTGATGAGCCACCTAGACAGGGCCCTGCCCTCGTGGAGTTGAGTTCTAGTGGAGGAGACAATTAACAAGTCACCAAAGAACAGACATGCAAAGTCGTTAATTACAGATTGTGGTAAGGGCTGGGAAAGAAATAGAGCTCTAAGATAGACATTAATGGGATGCATTCTCTACAAAACATTTGAAGACCTGAACTTTTGCATCACTTCATTTCCCAATATAAACATTGCATGAGAAATTTAATTTTGAATTAAGTACCAAGAAATACTACCTCCGGCGAGGAATTGGTGAGCTTCTTTCTTTGCAAAACTGAAAATTATGTAATTTACCCTTTATCCCTGTTTTCTTTTCCTTTTGTTTCCCTGTTTTATGTTTTTACTCTTTTCCCCCTTTGGTTGCCAGAAAGCGTGGATGAAACTTTGATGCCCGTGAAAGCATGAAAGTATCTCTTCTGGTTAGTATATTTGTGCAGCAGATGAGCTGAACACGCCCCTGGCGCCTGCACCCCCATCCCAAGGACTGTAAATTGTAAAATAGCGGGTAGTTCTGGGGCAGGCCAGGCCCAGCCTAGACAGACCAGAGAGGAGATTTTTCAGGCCAGAACAGAGATATTTGGAGGGGAGATTTAAAAGGAAGTTTCTCAGCATCATATGCAACATAACTCACAGCTCCATTTCTGCACGAAGCTCTCAGTGAAATCGAACTCACTCTACAGTGTTTGGTGGGAATTGGATTGTGTTTTGGGGATGCAGCCAAGTGTTGAGGCTGATCTGAAACTGGCCACAAAGTTAGAGCAGATGTCCCAAAGGGGCCCGCCTCCTTCTGGTCACATTTGGTGCCTGATCCTTTTATCTCTTTTGCTTATTACTTCTTTTCCTAGTTTATTGATTTTATTGCATTTAGACAATTATATATAAGAACATTAGTGAAAACTACAAGCAAATCTCTCTCTCCCCTTCCCTGAGAACTTCAGATGTGATAGAGAAACAGACCTGGGTTAAAATCCTCGCTCTGATACCTGCCAGCAGTGTTAGACAAGATGCTAGGGAGCGGGTTCTGCAGTGCCGCCCAGTTCCCCTTTACCAGTCCAGAGCACCCATAGCCCAGTGGCTCTGACTGTTGGCTGCTGATGGCTCACAGCTGCTCTCATCTCAGGAGAATTGTCCTCCCTGGAGATTACAAGCCCCTTGGGTCAGGGGTGGAGTGACTTCCCACAGACATGACTGACTAATCCAAGGGTGCAAAAGGCTATCCTCTTTTCTCAGATGGGACCAGCTCTGCAGTGCAGCCCATGCTCCAGAGCTCCCTGTGGGATCAGACTGAAGCAGACTCCAGCTGAGACCACATCTCTGCTTGCCTCCATTCCCTTTCCTGTCCTACTTCCTTTAGTCCCTTTCTTTTGAGAGCATTCCTACAATGGGTCATGTGCACAAGAATCCCTGTCTCACGCTCTGCCCTTTGGGCCTCTGTTTTCTTATCTGTAAAACAAAGATAGCTCATCACTTACAGAATTATTTTGAGGCTTAAGTGAAATAATATATATATAATATCCAAACTTAAAAAGCAGGCATTCAAGAGCTGGTATTAACTACTCCTGTAATGTAAGGCCACAATCCATGGCTAAAGAAATGTTGAAAAGCTGAAACATTACTGAAAGCTTTCAGAGTGTCTTGTTATTCCTTCTGAGTATTCTAGTCATCATGACCCAATGGATGACACACAGTCGGATTGCGAAGTGGTAGACCTTTTCCCATTTCTAAGTCCAGGGCTGCCCTCTGGTGGATGCTGAATAAATGTTAATTGAGGATAATAGGTTATGAAATATAACACTTGCAGTCAAACAGCAAACTGTATGCAGATTGGTCTGTCTAAGCTTCAGTCTCAGCAAGCTTCTAGCAGCCTCCAGAGACAAGCTCTTGCAACCGCTTGTCCTCAGAACATATGTCCCTATTCCCTTGAGGCTTGGGTTTCAGAACCAGATGGAAACTTAAAGAGATCTCTGCTCCAAATTCTCACTTCAAGAAAAGAAACTCAGAATTCATAGAGATGAAGTGACGTGTTCACTGTCTCCTGGTGAATGAGGAGAACTAAATTCTAATCCTGCCTTGTCCCTGGCTTCCAACTCAGACTATTTTTGTGGGATGTGCTGCTGTCCCTGTGGGCATGGACTCTTTCTCTAGAAATAGTTCCCATTTATTTAATCACATCTATTACTAATTATATTTGTTACCTTCCTATGTCTTTGCCCTTTGCTCACTTTTCACTAGCTTCTCTGTCCTCTTACTGTTTCTTCAGCACAACATGGAAGCTTCCGACTCCAGGACATTTGCACTGGCCATTCCCTCTGCCTACCATGCTCTTCTCTGCATTACCGTCAAGTCTTTGCTCAAATGTCATTTTCTCACTCTGAACACCCTATTTAATATTTCAGGCCCCCACCACTACCACTCTAGATCTCCCCTCCCCAAGTCTGCTTTTTCTTTTTTCCGTAGCACTTAGTACCTTCCATCATACTATATAACTTACTTATTCATTATGTAACACAATGAATGTAAGTGCCCCGAGAGCAGAGATCTTTGTCTCTTTTGTTCAGTTATGTAGTCCTTGTGCCTAGAATAGTACATAGCACACGATTTGTTGTTAGTGCCATCAAGTCAATTCCAACTCGTAGCGACCCCGTGTACAGCAGAGCAGAACCCTGCCTTGTCTTTTTGCCCCATCCTCTCACCTTCCAGCACTGTATCAGACAATGCTCCACTGATATTCATAGGGTTTTCATGGACAGTTTTTCAGAAATGGGTGACCAGGTCCTTCCTCCCAGGCCATCTCAGTCTAGAAGCTCCACTGAAACCTGTCCACCATGGGTGACCCTGCTGATATTTGAAATACCTGTAGCATAGCTTTCAGCATCACAGCAACACTCGACTGCCACAGTATGACAAACCATCAGACACACAATAGGGACTCAGTCAGTATGTGTTAGGTTAATTAACCTTCCAAAATGAATTTTCACTTAATGGAAGGGCCACTTGCTCCAGTGTGGACATACAGCTCTGTGAAAGCTGAGAGAGGCTGAACAAAATTTCCTATGCTCCATGAAAGACCAGGCCACTGCTGCCCTCACTGCCTACCACCCAGTGTTGCCATCATAATTAGCCCAAGAGACCAGTCTCAAGAAGGAGGGTGTAGTGAGAACCCCTCGTCCACTATCCCCTTAGAGGCCTCCAGGATCCATCCCATCAAGCCTGTCATCCTCCTTTATCCTCTTCATGACCACAAGGCCAAGCCTCCTCCATCCCTGGACTCTATCCTTATGCTGTACAGTTCAGCCTCTTCTCTGACTTTACTTCCACCACCCCAGCCCACAACCCTGCCCCCCTGAGCTCACACCATCATCCGCAGAGGCCCCCTGTCCTCAGCCTCTTCTCGGAGAATTACTATTGTTGTCTTGCTCTGAACCATGCCTCTCCCCAAGAGACACCACTACCCCAAAGCTTTTTCCAATAGAGGCTGTTTCTTCCCTTTCCCCTTGCACATCTGGGCCTACTCCAGACATCTGAATGTCATCTAGTCATCTGAATGTACTACCCACTACCCGTCCTTGTTCTGGCCATGTGTCAGCCTTGTAGCCAGTCCTCCTCATTCACAGCACATTTCGTTACCTGGACCTCCATCTTAGTCTCACCCAATATTCCTGTGACCCTTTCACTCCTCTTTGGTGACTTCAGCATCCTTGCAGGGACCCATCTAGCATCCTAGTCTGTCAATTCTTTGCCTTCCATTAATCTTCCCATCCATGGCCTGTCTCTGGGCCTTGTCGTCTTCACCCTTTCCCAGCCTCCAAATTCTTGACCTTAAGCATCCCAGCCTCTGACCACCCACAGCTTCCTGTCTTCTAGTGGCCCCTCTCCAGTAATTCTTTGTCCTGGGATCCTGTGACTTCCACTTTTTCAAGTCAAGGGCCCCTCTTGTCCTGACTTCATCCCTGCTTATCTTGGACTCCATCAGTATGCTTTGGATTCACCTTTAGCCTTTTGCCTCTGCTCTTTCAGCCATTCTCACCTGGCAAACCCCATCCCTGGTTAACCTCCAGTTGCCGTCTGTATGTCTCCTTGCCCTGAGCAGCTGAATGTGGATAAAGCAAAATATTCCACTGTGCTGACTGCTTCCACTTTAAATTTATAACCACAAGAATCGGTGGGCCCAGAGCCCTGCCTGGCATTCCTGAATCATTTCCCTAGTCAATCTCCACCCTCCACGATGTCAATTATTCCTACCTTGTCCTCTCTCCTCAACACTTCTCACCTCTGCCACCTCCTCATTCTCAGCTAATAAAAATCTTTTCTATTTTTTTTGCTCTAATAATTAATATTATTTATTTATTTCAAACTAAGAATACAACTACATGTTTTATTAATAGAGGAACCCCATCCTCCCAGGCATGGTTGCTTATCAATCATAATGAACTGGTAATTGAAATTTCAACTAGAAGTAAATTGGCCCTGAGAGAAAAGTCAGCCAGCCGCCGCTTAATTTTTCCCTCTTTTACTAAGTTTTTTTATAAAAGAATTAAGGGTTAAGTTACATTAGTCGAATCTTTGCCCCTCTTTGAAGATGAGCAACTTCCCTTTTAAAGAATGGGGACTGCTCTCTATCCAGAGATAAACACTAGTAACATTTGGTGTTTGTTATTCCAAGATT